GGCTGGCTCGGCAGGGCGCCGTCGATGTCCGCTACATGATCATCAACGAGAAGGGGCCGCTCTCCCGCGCCATGTTTGCGGAGCTGCAGCGCCAGGCCCCGCCGGGCGTCCCCGTCTTCCAGCCGGAGCCAGAGGAGCCCGACATCTGGCAGGTCCTGGGAGGCGATAAGGACGACTTCCTTGTCTACGATCGGTGAGTGTCCCCCATCCCAGCCAAGGATTTCCTGAAGTATTAGGAGTGTTTGTGAGGCTTCCCAAAGGCCCCTCCCTGCCTGGGCTGGTGGGATCCCAGAGCCCCTTCCTTCTCCCCGCAGCTGCGGCCGCCTGGCTTTCCACATCCAGCTGCCCTACAGCTTCCTCCACTTCCCCTATGTGGAGGCAGCCATCCGCTTCACCCACAGCAAGGACTTCTGTGGCAACTGCTCCTTCTACTCCAACACCACTCAGGAGGTAAGGAATAGGGAGGCTTGCTGGAGCTGGGTTCCCTTCCCTCCTCTGGTGTTGTACCTCAGCAGAAAAACAACCTTATCTTCACATCAGGGACAGGCTCTGAGTTGGAAGCTGTCCCTTGGCCACAGTTGAGAGGGAAGGTGATGAAAGGTCTGGAAGAAGGGCAGTTAAATAGGTCAGAGCTTTCTGGTTGAAGAGAAGGGGACTAAAGGGGCCATAGCCCAGATCTGGAAAAGCTGACTAGGGTTGCTGATTCTTCTGATGTAAAGAAAGGGGTGGGCAGTAGACCTGGAGGTGGCAAGCTCAGAGCAAATAAAAGGATGTAGCTCTGGGCTCAGCAGGGGATTAGTCACTTCCTAGGAGAAAAAAAAATCTATAAATACTAAATGCAAAGTCCCTTCCTGCCTCAGGATTTTGCTGGGCCATAGACAGCTTGAGCAAATGGATGTAGCTGCAGAGGTTTGTGCTCTATATGCTCCAGACTTTCCTGTCTTCCCTGTGCCCTGGGTTGGGGCTGGAGAGCCTCTGCTCTGACCCACGCAGCTTTCTGTATGATGGATGCTGTTCTCTGACCCCAGCTCACGGGCACGCTCACAGGCTCACTGCTGGGCTCTGTCTGCGTTCTCACACCTGTGTACCAGCCCTTCCTTGTACTACATTCCCCAGGCTAACAGTACCATGGAGGTCCCTGTAACCCTGACCCCACTTCCAGAACAAGAGGGGAAGGAGGCAGAGACCCCAATCCACAAGCACAACCCCCTCCATCCTCACCACCACCATGAGATCAGCAGCGAGAGAGCCACAGACCCGAGTGGGGACAAAAAACCTGTCACCCATGCTCACCACCACTACCACCATGGAGACCATGGCCAGCCTCATCCCAAGGGGCAGAAGCAGGAGGAAAATTAGCACTAAGCCGGGATGGGCAGCCTTGCAGAAGAACCCTGTAGTGCGTAGACCATGCCAACTCGCTTCCCAGAGGCTTGAAAGGACTTGCTTTGGCCTCCTGGTCACCAACAGCATTGGTCTAATAACCCCTTCCAGTAACCCCCTTATGGGCTGTGCTCCCACACTGTGACCAGGACTGAAATGCCCCCTCAGAGCCCCCCGAGGTGCTGCTTTTTCAGCCCCAGGACTGAGTTCTGAGCCTTCCTCTGCTGCCACCCACCTCTCCGTGCTCAATGAAGCCCGCTGTGCAAACCGGGAGGTCCCCGGTCGCTGCTGGCTGACACTGCACGGAGCAGCAGGGTGGGAGTGGAGGGGCCAGAACTGGGACAGGAGCAGCGCTGCCAGCAGGCTCTGCCAGTCCTGGCACCCCCGGGTGTCTTGGCTGGGGAGCAAGGGGAGGAACAACATGTGCCCCGCAGGATGCGATCCCAGGGGGCAGGGGCACTAGGAGTGGTAAAAGGTCACAGCTCCCCATGGTCCAAGCCTCCATAGCTGTCACATCCTGGCGACCTTCCAGGCCTTGCACACAGGTATGTGCAGTGGTGATGGGTGGCCGCAAGATGGTGGCCTTGTCCCCTCTTGGAGATCTAGGGGCTGTAACCAGGGTCCACAGCCCTGGGAGGATGGGGATGAGGATCCTGGGGTCACTTCTGGGGAAGAAGCAAGAACGGAGGGTGATGCGGATGTCCAGCGTACAAATAAAACCTCTGTGAAGCGAACCCTGCTCAGCTTGGCCTCTGGTGCCCCTTCCCCGGAGAGGGCTGGGGGCTGACTCAGTGCTGGGCTGCCCTTGGGCTTTCTTCTGGATACAGGTAGTGACTTGGGTCTGGAGGTGGACCTCATAAAGCATTTCCCTGTTCAGCATTTCCCTGTTCCCTCCCTGGGTAGTAACAGGTTGAAGATCAAAGACATCCCATCTCTTGACACCTTCTGGCTACCTCCTGACAGATGTGAACCCAGGGGCAGGGCATTAGGAGGAAGTTTGGCTCTGCACCTTGATTTCTGGTTGCAGGTGTAATGTTGGGGTTCCTGTTCTGCACTGCCACCATCGGGCTGAAATTCCCACATGCAGTCCAAGGTCATCTTGGGCATCTTGTCACCAGTGTCCAGCCTGGTCCCCAGTGCACACACATGTTGGGGGCTGCCCAGCCCTCAAGCCATGGGGTGTTGCACCCCTGGCAGGCAGATGTGCCTGCCTGCACCCTGGGCCACCCCCATGTCTGTCTCAGCTCTATGGCCCTTCACTCCAGCTCCATCCATCATTCCACGTAGCTCCACTCAAAGCCTCCCCTGAACCTTCCATCTCCTTTCTGAGCCCCACAGCCTGCGTGGGGAGCAAAGGGGTATTTTTTTCTGCTCAGCATTGTGGGACACCATGCCGTAGTGTGAACTCCTGATGATGCTCTGAGCTGACCTTCTGTCCCACGTCCTGGGATCCTGCTCCCCTCTGCCTTGCCTCTGTGGGAGGATGCTTTGCCCAGCAACTGGGACAGGAGCCAGGGTGAAGAGGAGCCGTTCCCCATGTTGATGAGGGCAATGGGATCAGGTGGGTCTTTCTCATCAGCCTGGAGGAGCCAGCCAGGCTCTCTCACAGGGCACTGCCTGAGACCCTGCTCCCCCTCCTCCACCTCTCTTGCTTTCTTCTTCCTCCTCCCCCTTCCTCCTCTACCTGCTCCCAGCAGCCCACAAGGGCACCTCTGTGTGCTGCTCCTGCCATCAATATTGAGGTTATCTTTTTCTTCTGGCAGCTGCTGTAATTGAAACAAAGCAGGCCGGGCCTCACGGGCTCCAATCCTCTCGCTCATTTTGCTGGTGTTGCTGAGACAACTAATTCATCTTATCGATGAGTGGTTGGCCTCTTTTCCACCAGATCCAGGCAGAGCCCCCTCCCCACCACTGGTATGGGGACTGTAGGTCCCTGGTAGGTGAGAGCAGCCTGTGTCCCTGCAGTGTGCTGCTGGGTGCTGCTCTGCCCCAGCCTCTGGTACTTGGCTTGCAGCAGCAGGAGATGCCAGGGGATCTGATCAGAAGGGAGAGGTGCAGACTGGAAGGATGATGATGACGACTTTTATCTCTGTCTTTTGCCTTCTGAAGCTTCCTTAGCCCTTTTGTTAAATTCCACATCCTTACCTTGCACAGCTCCTAAAGGTGTCCCTGGCAAGTAGGTGACATTGTGACGAGTGGGGCACACACAGATTTGCATTCCCTGCTGACGACCAGCTCTGCGATTAGCAGTGGCAGACAGAGGGATCAGGTCTGGTGTTGGGTGGGTAGTCCAGTAGCACCCTGCTGTGCTGCTGCTGCTTGGCTACCTCCCAGCAGACAAATTTTGAGCCCTGAAGTCTTGGATTGGTATTTTGCTTTGAGTATAGAAACTGAGGGGTGGGAAAGAGCCGTGACACTGGGTGAACTCCTGCATGTCTGAGTAATGGGTAGGGTTTAGGGTGAATCCTGTGTTGCTCCATATATTGTTGTCCAAAGGCTGGAAGGGTTTGGGGGGGGGTGCTGTGCTTGAACCCCCCTACAGCATAGCTCCCCTTTCAAAAGTGCTGGAGACCCAGAGCTCTGCAAAGCCTTTGTTGGTGTCTACACTCCAGCAGTGCTGAGGGAGAGCTTTGCTCCGAGTGGGCTGGAGGTGAGGTATTTTGGGGGAGTTAACAGGCTCTTCACATTGCTGATGTCAGGGGGAGTAATGCCATTAGCTGGAGTCAGCAAGCTCCAAGGAGTGCTCAGCTGTCAGGGGGGCTGGCTCAGCACACGAGGGTCCAGGGCAATGAACTGAGGCTGACTTAATGTCCTGGCAGTGCTGCACCATGCACCCTGGTGCCGGTGGCAGTACCACCGCTCCAGAGGAGGACAGACCCCAGTCCCACATCACATGCAAGCCTGCTGCCTTGGCCCTGTGTGCTGCTCCTGCCAAGAGCCAGGCAGAGCCTCTCAGGAGAGGGGGAACAGCCAGTCCTAATGTCAACAGAGGCCTCTTGTGCAGCGATGCTGTGTCAAGAAGAGGAATGGATCCCTCCTCCTCCGCCCATTCATCTGGCAGCCGGGGCTGGCGTGCTGCCAAGCTTGGCTGCTTTGGAAACATTTCATTGAGGAGGCAGCTGAGCCTAGGAAAACAGAATGAAAATATACAGAGAGATCACTGTTGTTAGGCAAAATAAATGGAGGCGGCTGCACTTCTGTCCCCCAAGTCCATCCCAGCCGGGCCCCTCTTGGTTCTATGGGGTGAGGGTGAATGCTGCTGCCTGGGAATAGTAGCCATGTATCTTCATCGTGGGTTAGGAGCTGGGGAGCAAGGGCCATAGAGCTTGTCCTCAGCTTTGCCCAACTTGCTGACATTCCTGGTGAGTAGATCCAGACTCATCTTGATGTGGCGTCACACAAGGAGATGGGACAGCAGAGAAGCAGCCACAAAAATGAGCCAGCCTGTACCCTGTGCGGGAAGTGTGTCAGATATTGGACCCATTCATTCTCACCTCCTTCCCCAGCATCAATCACAGGTCCTGGCCAGGCATGAGACCACCAGCAGGACAGAACCCACGCCCTAGGTTTTCAAAGCCCCTTTGCTCAGCATACCCCATTTTAATCTGCTGACAGAGAGAGGGCAGAGTCACCCCAAAGCAGAGTCAAGGAACAGAGGGTGGAGGCACTGCTCTGACTTCAGAGCAAAGGTGCATTCAACAAGTTTGCTTTTCCTGTTGTTTCCTTTATAACCTCTCTCCTCCCTCCAAAGGCCTCCAAGTCTCTCCCTAGTTCTTTGCTGATCTGCAAAAGGCCCATCTCAGCTCCTTCCCTCCCTCCTGGTGGGTCCAGAGTGGCTTGAGGGAGGCAAAGCTGCAGCCCTGGCCCCATGGGACTTGAAAGCTCTCACCCCTCCATGAATCCTCTTACTGGCACAGAAGCACAGCTTTATGTGGCCTCACCTCTCTGCATCCACCCAGAACGGTCCAGCCATTGCTGTGCAAGAAACTTTTGTTTGATGGATGATGGCACAGAGGGAACAATTTGTTTCTGTTATTTATGGTTTTGATCTGGGGGCTGAAAGATGCCCAGAGTGAGGAGACAAAGCCCAACCAGCACCCCAGGACAGACACATCTCACCAGCCCAATATCTGTGGATTTGAGGCACAGAGATACCCAAAGCTGAGACTGGATCCTGCACTGGTCCCTGCATTCACAGGAGCTTTACTAAAATTCAGGTTCCTTTCTCTTGCCCTCCCACCAGGAAAGCAGATAACAAGCTAGTTTTGCCGTGCCCCTCTCCATCTGCTTTGTAAAGGAGCTGGAGGAAGAAGACAAATCCACAGAGCAGCCCCTGAGTGAGAGCACCGTAACACCTGCTGAAAAGACCTCAGTCCCAAGCTGGGGTGGGCAGCCCCCAGCTACTGTGAAAGCCCTGATAGAGCTATGAAAGAAGAGCTGCATTAATGATGTTTGCTGATTTTTTTACTATGGAAGAGGTCCCAGGATGGAGACTATTTTTTTTTCCACATGGATGTGCCCCTGGAAATGTCTTTGGAATAAATTGCTGAAAAGGGTGGCAAGGAAAGGCCCAGACCAGATGCTCCAGATGTCTGAACTCTGGCTCCTGAAACCTGCTGCTGCTGCTGCCCGTTACCATGGCAGAAGTGACCGCGATGGGCTTAGCGGCGCCTGAGGCAGGGCTGGCAAATCAGTGCAGACGAGTGTACAGACCAGCAGGACCAGGCGTGAGGAGAAATCCTATAAATTGCAATGATCTGACTTTCATCAAAGCTGTTTTTTTATTAGTTTGAGATTCCCCCCACCCAGCCAATCAGCACACAGTCCTAAGGTCACACAGCCAATGAGCACCCAATGATGTGGCCAACCAGCCAACCAGCCCAGAGGCAGGAAGCTTCCCAGCCAAGCAGCCATGGGGTGTTGTAACATCCCAGCCAAGCAGCCATGAGGCATTATAACCTCCCAGCCAATCAGCT